CGAGGCAAGGTCTTCAGATGCACAGCTGCGTTTTTAATAATATTATGCCAGCTAATAGAGGAAAGTGAGCTGATAAAAACCCTTAAAGAAGGACCCATATCAGTTCTTTCAAAAGTTATGAATTTTTTTGTTCTAAAAGTACACTGTGTGTAGTAACAGTAATAATTCTGTAACGCAGTCAAAACAAAGAATTAAGAGGTGAAATTTTCTTTTGTATTTTCGCTAATATTACAGAAAATTTGAGCTTTATATCTTCCTAAATTCGCTTATTATTGAACTTTTCTTCTTGAAGACAAACAGTGTTTTTCCAAACCGCACAATTTTCAATGATAACATTTCTCTTTTATTAGAGGTGATATTGCGAATTTAGAAAGATATAACTTAAATTTTCTAGAATATTAGCACTATTAGCAAAAAATCACTCGTCTGTAATGCGATGTCCTCCGCTTAATAAATAGGTAAATAAAAAGACATAAACTAAAGAACAAAACAAAAGAGTAAAAATTTATCGGGTCAGGTCGAGTTCGGGTTAAGTTGTTGTCGGGTCGGCATTTTGACAGTCGGGTGGGGTTCGGGTTAATCTGTGCAGGTCTCTATTGCTCGACTGAAGAGCAATAATGATACGGACTTACGTTTTTCGGCTGGTATGCTTGCACAGATCGTTTTCCGTCAGAAAGCACCAGAACAAGTTCAGAACTTCAGAATATGGTTATTTTTAGCCGCCAGACATAGTTATAAGATCGAGCAAATTACAGAACCATTTTTTGTCCAAAGGCTTTTTAAAAACCCTTTTGTGAAACCATGGATTTTCGAAATTCGTTTTTGGTATATTTCTTATAAATGGAATATAAAATAATCTAAATATTGTACATCCTGAAGTTCTGAACTTGTTCCGGTGCTTTCTGAGGGAATAGTGAATTTTTGAATATTAGGTGGAAACAGGCGGCAAATCCTATTATTCGAAAAACTTGGTTTTCGCTATATCTTGTTGTAAAAACAAATATTGCCACAAGACTCAACATGATTGGTTGGAACATTGGTGAAGAAATGGATGATGAATGCATGACGAGTGAAACATCAATAAAACAGTCATTCGTTTATCCAAAACCATTATTTTGATTGATTTTATCAGCACGAGCGATTGGTAGATTGGAGGGAGGAAGGGATATAATAATGTATATGAACATTTTTAAAATTATCTCGCTGATAATTGTATACAAAGTGGAACAATCTTTATCATATTCATTCTAATTTATCAACAGATGATAATATTTGATTTAAATCAGCACCTGGAAAATTTTGTTTTCAATATTACATGAATGAGATGAAGTATCGAAGTGAGAAAGTATCGATGATCATACGTATTTTTATGCAGAGACGCATCAATGGTCTAATGTTTTCGGATGTGACATAAAAAACTTTCTCCCAGAAAAAAAATAAAACTCAGTTTCATCTCTTCCATGCTAAGAACTTTTTTTTAATCATTGAGGCATATCTTTGTCCCAGAATTTGAGAAAAAAGTTGCATAATAAAAATAATTACAATAATAAATGTTGATAAATAATTTTATTTTAAAAGAAATAAAAAAACTCTTTTGTCTAACCCGACTGTTTGCTTGCGTAGAATAAATCTCGAATAAAATCTTGTTTCAATTATTTGTGTTTTACTAAACTTGATTTATCATCTTTCAATAATGCTCTTATGTATAGTTTTTTATCAGCATTATACTCAGATGACAAACTTGTTATATCAGCATTCGGTGGTAACGTTATTTGTTTATAGATATAAGATCGAGACGAATGATTTGATGATCGTTGACTGTCGTGTTCAGCTTGAACAATTAAATCTTGACCGTCCATCGTTACTTTAATTTCCTCTGGTTCAAAATTTTGCACATCTAATTTCATTTCAATTCCTCGTTGTCCCTGTTGATCATAGTAGATTTCTGGTTGAAATGCACTTTTATAAAATGCATCAGCATTAAATCCTTCACTGTTGATTAATCCTGGTGTTGTTGATATTGGTTCGTTACCTGCGAGACGACGAGAATATTCACGAACTTCAACATTACGAGATGGACCATCATTATTTCTATGAGATAACGGTTCATAATGGAGTGTTGAAGTGGGAGTGGCTGGATAACGATCAAGATTAACACCGGTTTTGAATCGATTACTCAAATAATTGTCATTATCAGTAGATGGAGTGGATTGTGTCGTACTAGAATAGTATTTTTGTGTTGATGGACTACCTGATTGTTGATGTTCAAATTCATGTGATGCTTTTGTGCCACTTGTAGGACTTGTTCGTCGCACGTGCTGTTCTCGTCTTGTTTCACTAAATGTTTCAACATTTTTTTTTGAATTCGGTGTTGAGATATTACTTGTGTAAGATGGACTACGTGATCTTTCGCGAATATTGGACGTAATTCTTGGTGATATTAATGATGTATAAGGCGATGCTAGACTGTAATCATCTTTTCTCGTATCAGCCCAACTTATATTCGAAAAATTCTGCGGAAGTTTTGAATCATCATGGGTTGACAATGAATCCGCAGAAATTTGGCGAGCTGAACTATCACTATATGGTGGATCATGATCACTACCAGCACGATAATGACTAGTGCTACTACTAGATGTAGCATAGTTTCCAGTATTGATATTGACCAATGGTTCACGGTGGATCTGAGACGCTTTCGGACCTAATTGAAAAATGAATTCTAGTGTATCTTAAACAACTGTATTGTCTACTATACTTACTTAAGCTTCGGTCTTTATAACGTGAACTTGTTGTTCCACTTGTACCACCAATTTTTCTTGTCCTTGAATATTCACTTGTATGTGTTTCTTGTGTAATTTTTGGTTGACGATGATGGTGATACAGCAATGAATCATCAATATTTGCCAAATGTCCACCACTACTGTTACTTGGTGTATGCTGTTGTCGTGCCGGAAAATCAATTTGCATTGTTGTTAACGATGGAAACATGACATGTGGACTGAATGGATCGACATCACGTGGTAATTCATATGATTTTTCAATGCGTTTTTCTGCGGAACTCTAAAAGGTTGAATAGAATTATTTTAAAGCTAAAGAAACTAGGATCAATGTTGAGTAGAACACACTTCATCTTTATTTTCCATATGTTTACCGGATACAATTAGTTTATTGCCATCAATACGGATATTAACCTGAAAAAAAAAATAAAATTAGTTAGTAACAACAAAGTCTGTAAGATCAACTTACTTCATCCTGTCGAAACCCTTCAATATTAACGGTAATACGAAATTTTTCATTTGTTGATAATATATTGCCAAGAGAATCTTTCACAGGCTCTTTGATCCATTGTGTAGTAAAATTAGAATTTTGAACTCGCTCGGATACTCGTGTATCTCTATCAAGTAAATGAGATGGAGAATGTGTATTTAAATGTTGAACGGGAGCGTTTGTTCGAAAATCTCGATTAATATCAAATGGTGATTGATCATATATACTGCTGCTGTTGTCACCCACATTACCAGATGTGTATCGACTTTCATGACTTTTTGATTCTGAATAACGTTGTGACATTTTGTATTGTGAAGAAATGACTGAAGAAATCTGTTCTATGAATATATCTGAAATAGTGAAAAGTTCATTTATAGCGAAAAGAGATTACACGTGTGCGTTTACTAAAGGATTTAGGAATAACGAATCTTTTATTTGAAATTGAGTTGTATAAATCGAGGTCTTTTAACTTTTTGTTTCTTTCTTTTTTTCTATGATGCATTTATAATTCGACATATCCTTGAGATGTGTGAATATTATAACCCTTTAAACAATAAGAATACATTCTTTATTACATGAACTATATTTACTACTGAGATATCACGCGGAAGAAGGACAATGTACAGTAACAATTAAGTATTTGGCTATTTTGTTTTTGACGCAAAACTATAGCGAACTATACCAACCTTGGACTCTCTATAAATATCGACCTTCGTTTAAAATCAAAACTCAAAAATAAGAGATAATATACTTGTTTCGTTCTATCAAATCACTAAACCGTAAAGAAAAGGTAATTATGATAATATGTTAAATAGGTATCTGTTTTTCTACAATAGATTTCAATAGATTTAGAATGGTTACGGATCGTTAGTTATAGTTTCTCACTTTATATGCTGCCAAATTCTTTTTTACTGTTGATTTCTTTAAGATAGCTGAAACGTACTCTATATTTTCAAAACTATCATTTTTTTTATAATAATATTATAGAAGATTTCGTTGTTTACAATAATCTCATTCACAGTTATTGCAAGATATATTTGAGATTTACTGTGATAATCATAAATAAATAATAGAATAAGCGTTAAATAAAAAAATAACTCTCATCCAATCCTAATGTTATCTCATAGTAAAAGAGCCAAGTGTTGCAATCTTGAAGAAGTACTTGTAAAAAAAATTTATAGAAAATAAGTAGTCTTGAAAGTAGTTTTTAGCAATTTTTCCAATTTCTTACTAAGTATTTATTTACCAAGTAATCAAGTACTTTGATCGAGAACGTTCAGTAGGGAAGAATGTATATGACTTACTTGAATAGGACTTCATTCAATCTCTAATGAAATAAAATTTCAAAAAAATAAGAGTAACATTCGACTGATTTGTACAAATTCAATTATCGTTCACGGTATAGACTAGTACAAGAAATTTACGTTTACAGTTTGGACAAAACTATGTTTTCGAATCTCTCTTCTCATAAAAATTGATTTTGTACTTTTCGATAGTTTAAATTCTAGTATAATGGGATTTATCGTATAAATCTCGAAGAATAAAATATAGATGAAATTGAAGTTGACTTTTATAATAAAAAAAAAAAAAAAAGTCTTCGATTCTTATCAAAAAAAAATATACCTTTGATTAGAAATAGAATATAACCAATTACTCAGTATACATAATAACTGAAAAAAAAAAGTCTCATATTCTCATCTTTTATCTTTCTTTTTTCTTTTCAATATATTACATCATATTTTTGATAAAAAGTAAAAGAAATTTAAATTTGAATACTGACAATAGTAAAAACAACTCTCATACATAGTAATGACCATTAAGGTTGACGCTGTTTCTATTTTCTAACTAGTATTCCATTTTACTGTTCTCAAATAGAAGATTTATACTTTTTATAGAATATAAATTATGACAGGGTGTAGTTTTTTCTCTTCTTTTTTTTTTTATTGAAAATAACTAGAGGACTTTTCTTTTATAGTATGAATAAAAACCATATATTTTTCTCTCTCGTAATTATTTTTTTTACTCATCGTTCCATATGTTACATATAAAAAACAAAAATAATGACTAAATAATAATAATATTATTCAGATATGAATTGTTTTCAAAGAAGCGACGGTAATGCAATAACATATAAACAATCACTTATGATCCCATTGAAATCAGAGATACTATGATCTATCAATTAGAATATCAAGATATACTCTGTACCTTTACTACCTTCGGGCAGTGTGGCTCAATTGGCTAGTGGACAGACAACATACGACAAAGTATCGAGTTCGAATCCTAGCAACGGCTGTCGCATGATAGTTTTGAACAAGCTATCGTATTTATGCTCATTGTCTCGGTACCTTTAGGCACAGATGCAATGGGGTAACGCGATTTCAGTGGCCATTGAACTGGAGACATGAGATTCAAGTTTAAAAAAAACAAAAAAAATGGGTTATTTTACCGAATACACATTTTCAGTAGGTCTTTGACGTTTTCTGAAAACATAATACCACGAGATTCAGCTTGATCGATAACTAGCGTTCTCATTTATTTTTTGAAATTGCCAAATGTCATCAGAAGCCGATCATGAAATCCCTAGGAAATTTAATGCCATGTCTGATCAACGAAAAATGAAGAGGTAGTAGAATTTCCATTTTAAAGAGAATATTGTGAGATATCTATCGATGGAAAAAAATCATTAGGTTTGTATTTCAAATTTTTGTGCTATGATTTGATCGTCTAAAAAACTTGGAAAATCGATATTAAAGATTGCTTTGTTTATGAAAAGATGTGTCAAGTCTCTTCTTTCGAATAGCAAACCGCAAGTCTGCATCTATTTTTGGTTAAAACTTATTCAAATAGTTTGTGTTGATCATGTGTTCTGAAAAAAATAGTATAAACAAATTGTTCCAAAAAGTACTCTGAACTGTTTTGGCTTCAACTTTTTTTGTCGTTGCCAACTCTTTTGTTGTTGTTTAACTCTTTTTTTTTTGTTGCTTATATTCTGTTTTTCATCTATACAAAATAATGATTACTATTATGAGTGCCTCCCCACTTGCTTGTGTTCATTACTAGTTATTTCTTCTCAGTTTAAATAAAAGTTTAAATTAAAAACAGAATAAAAAAGTAAACGAAAAGCGCCAAGGATAAAATGTTTTCAAACGATGAATCAAAAAATAAAAGATTGCAATCTTTTATTATAAATATAAAAATTGAAAGTGCCCTTTTTGACGATTCAAGTCGTACTACACATGCCTCGGACCACAGACTATTTAACGACGTAATCTTTTTTGCCACAAGTGGTGAATTTGCAGAAAAAATGCACGACTAAAAACATAGCTTGTATGCTTGCGACCTCTATAGAAAAACAATCTTTTTTCGTTAGATTTTACCGTTTTGAACTTTGGAATCTAGGACCCTTTAGCTATCGATTCATTAAAAAAGTGTTTTTGTTTGAGACTTTTGAACTGCATCGAATGATATACCAGTTGTATGTTTTTATGCGCAAAAATCGTTCGACTTAATGAAAGAACAGATTTGTAGCATTCCCGTAACAATTTTGGGTAACAGCGTCTGTGGGTTTTCTCTTATTTTCGATGTCCTAAGATGTCTACTTTCGCAACTAAAAGTCGTATGTCTCTATATCATTTCGTTCGAAACAATGCCCACAGGCACCGTTTTTTGAAACGGGTGACAGTTCAGACACAATGGGTAGTAATGCGGAACATTAACCAATAAACGAAAGTGTACATTTTTTTATCTGAACACTGATGAATAATTTTTACACTATAGATTATTTTTCCTAGCAAACGTTTTTCGTTCAGTTATTAGTACTTGAAAAACTTACATAGATACGAAAATTGTGGGTCATTTTCGAGTATTTGAAAAATAAATATGGTATTTGAACTTAACACAGTCGAAAAAACTGATGTTTTCCATGCTAAAACAACTTCTAGACAACGTGCCTGCAATATGACTTACGAGGGAACCTCCCGAGATGCCCCCTTCCGATTTCAATCACTTGTACATGAATCGATAGACTTCAGTGAGGTAGTAAATATCCTAAAAGGATTCGGACCCATGACTCTTGAAGACCCGGTTTTCTGAAAAACTGATTTTTCAGAAAACCGGATCTTCAAGAGTCAGGGGTTCGAATCCTTTTAGGATATTTACTACCTCACTGAGGTCTAATTTCTAAATAAAATCTAAAATTTTGCGCATGTGAATATAGTCCAGTAGTCATACCCCATTAAAACAAAAAGAACGTGGGCTAAAAAAATTCCATTTTTCCTGAGTTATGTGTGTTTTTCCAGGAACTGTAAAATTACTCAGTCAAACATTTTCCGGAAATTCAAAGAGGACAAAATCGGTGCAGGCTTAAAATTTTATCACTTTATTACTTGTCAATAGAGCTTTTCAAGGACTACAAAATGCTTATATTATTTTATTTTTCTCGTTACTAGCTATAGACGAAATCTGAAAAAACGGTTTTCCGGCTCTGAAAGTTGGTCCGTTTATACGTGTTGTGTTTTCTTTGTTTAATTCTTTTTCTTAACTTTCTATAGAAAAATGTTTGATACACATCTTGTAGAGAATTTGACAGCACACCTTGTGGGCGAACAATTAGATCTAAAAGTTGAGAAGAAAAAAAGTTTTAGTCGAAATACTGAGAGGGTCATTCTTTATGAGACATCCGCTAGTATGATTAGTTAGAATCATTTAACTGATCCATTTGATGGGTGTGCCAGTGAATCAGTTAAACGGTTAACCGATGATCAGTCACTAAAGCACCAGCTAACTGTCATATAACCTTCGCTGGTATAGGTCTACGTCCGGTATCTTTGCACATCCAAATATGCAAGAGAATCATCACTTCCATAAAATCATGAAAATAAAATAAATTAGAGATAGACACATCATTGAACTTCACATTTCTTTCATTCAGATATCATCCATAATAGGTGTTCACTTTATTAATGCTATTGAACAGTAAGTGAACATTTTCAACTTAAATGAAATATGTTGTTAGTTTTATAATTAGTGAATGCACAATGATGAATATCACCGGAGTAAATTTCTATTTGTTGCGTGGCTATCAACTGTTAGTCGCGCGACTGTAGCTTCCTCATTGTTCAATGTCTCAGATCATGACAAAACACATTTTTTTTGCTATAAACGTTTATATTTTTTGATGATGTATAATCCAAACCGTATGTTTCATTTCTTGAGAGAATGAACAGCTAATGAAAACATTAGCTTATAAACATCTCTTAGTAAATAAGGAATCGTTAAGTTAAATTGTCGTAGCTAGTCAACCAGTTCTACTCCTTCCTTTACTTCAAGTATGAAAGTTATTGTTATTTTTAACTCGCTTCGCAATATAAATTTAAGTGATACGTTGATATAGAGACAACTTGTTTTTTGTTACATATAATGTTAAGTGGAATTAACATTTATCATGTCAAAAAAGTTATTTCCTAATTATATATTCGAGATTACTAGTGTTCTTCTTTTGTTGCACGCAAAATATTCCTCTCCGTCTTTTTCTTCTTCCTTTGTTAATATGTCATACTTCGTTTTTTTACATCACCTAAATAGAAAAGAAAGCAATTTTTTTATTATTAGCATCAGTCTTCTAAAAAACATATAGTTACAATTATCTATTTCTAAGACTCTCATTATTATTATTATTATTTAAAAATTTCTTCTCTCTTCTTAGTTTATTGAAATAATAACAACAACAACATCAACAACAAACAATACATTGTTGTCTTTTGCCCTGTGGTTTTTCAATTTTATCTTATTACACATATTATACTTTAATATAACACAAGTTTTTCTCTTCGCTAGCTCTTTTTTATGCTTCGTTCATTTCTGGGCATGTTCATTTCTTCTTCCTTTTTTATTGATGCAAAAGGAAAGAAAAAAATCTTTTTGACAAAGCATTAAAAACTCGTTTTGTTCTTTTCAGAAAAGCTGTCTTCTCATACACCCCTGTTCCATTCATATTTCTTTACTGTTTCTCACTGTTCATTGAAAAAACATCGTATATTTTCCTTTAGAGCGATTATAAACTCTAAAATGAATAAATGTTGTTGTCACTCATATGCGAAAGAGAAAGAGAGAAAAAGGACAGAGAATTTCCGTTGTCAATCAAATTTATTGTTTTCCCAAATAACTCTTTTATTTCAGCACTCGAAACACACACACAAAGAAAAAGAAAAATGAACACGAGAGGGAGAGAGAGAGAGCACAGACACATAACTAGACAAAGGACATAATAAGTGCTGTGAGGTGTGAAAATATCTATATTATATTGACATTTGAAAGTAACTTCTATAAACGAGATCAAACAATAGTAGTAGTAAAAAACAACAGTGACAACGACTAATATGTATCAGCGATATTTGTTAACGTTCGTGTTTGGTTTAAATTTTTATTCATATTATTTAAAACCAACAGCAGCAACATCAACTCAAATACCAGTGACTAGAGACTGGCTCATTGAATTTCATCGAAAAATTGAACCAAATGAAGTTAAACGAATTGCTAAACGATACGGAATGGTTAGCAAAGGATCGGTAAGAAACATTTTGGGAGAGAAAATCAAATTTTTATATTTTATTAAGCTAATTAACCTACAATAAATAATAAATTGAACATCTCAGATTAAAAAAGACATTTTTTGAATTGTGAATTATAATGTCTGAGAGTATGAAACATTGCGAATATCGAGTGCTTCAATTATCATTAAATATTTAATACAGCTGTATGTCATTACGAGAAAAGTAGTCACAGTATAATTTTGCAAGAATTATTTAAAATTTCATGATAATCCACTTCAAAAATGTTTATTGGGGTAGATTTATGATCTAAAGTGGAAGAAAAAAGACTACTTCACCGTATGACTGCTGTTGTTAGTATAGGATGCAGACAAGTCAGACTTTTCAGTTTCAAGCAGAGCACAGTGAGCAATTTTCAATAGGCACGTGGACTTTTGGCCTGCAAGCTAGAGGAAAACTTAAAAGCGTGTTTTCTATAGGTTATCTTGTGTGCTCTATCTAATCAAATGCTTTCCGAATTCTAAAAAGGTTTTCTAAGTGGTTTTCTAGAGATCGGATCTCTATAAAACCACTTAGAAAACCTTTAAAAAACTCGAAAACAATCGCATTGGATAGAGAATTATCGATAGCCTATTACAATAGTGTTTAGACGATTTTATGTGTTGATAATTTCAAATTTTCAAAGGACGGGGGCTTATAAGGGTCAAAACTTTCCCTTGATATTTCTGAACAAGAGTTATATATTCAGAATCAGCGTGAAATTCTGCGTCGAATGAGGTATATGGCACCTTGGAAAAACTATTTTCAATTATTCGGAAAATTTGAAGCCCCTATCCCACCTTTGGAACATCGAAAAACATTTTTACTCAGAATTTTGAGTACATCTAGGGGGTTTTAGAGGTTTCCATGCCAAATTCAAGGGAAAAAACTCTGCTTTTAATGAACCAGGTCGCCGACGCCATCTGTCAGTAAAATCGATTTTTTTCGATCAAAATTTAATTATTTTCCAGTTTTGACCTGATATTCACGATCAGCATCAAATTCTGCATCGAATAAAGTATCTTTAGAAAAATTCTGAGTAAAAACGTTTTTCGATGTTCCAAAGGATAGGGGCTTCAAATTTTCCGAAAAATTGAAAATAGTTTTTCCAAGGTGCCATATACCTCATTCGACGCAGAATTTCACGCTGATTCCGAATATCACCTTATTTTTTAATTTAAGTGCTACTAAACTGACAAAAACTTAAATTATCTGGAAAACCTATAACCCGATCCAAGAGCATTTGCGCTAGTTTGCGCTATCAGTATATATGTACCGTTGGTAGGTCTACCTCCGGTAAAAAATTCGTTGAATTTGAAGCTTCGAAAAAAATCGGAAACCGATTACACTAATCACACATTTTCGGAAAACACGTAGCAAAAAAAGAAACCTAATTTTATCGATCATGAAAAAGCCAAAACAGAAATTTTTTTACGAATGGATAGAGCGAAATGCCTAGTTTTAGACTATGTAAAATTTTAATAAATATCGTCTATTGTTTCATCGCAAAATGATTTTCTATCTTAGCTGTTCTGTTTTCCTAAAAGTAATTTATCGTAGATTTTCCCGCTAAAACTGACGCCTAAAAAGAACTTGCAATGGCAAAGTTATAGTGCGTATGATGAAGTATATGTTCTGCTATTCAAATCTCGAAAAATCTCACTTTCATTTTTTCACCTAATGTCCACATGGTTGCCCGCTGTGAGAGGAACTATATTGGGCGTCACAACGTAGAGGTATACTAATACAATCATGGTACGCTGAAAGTACGTGACGAACAACATAAGCGTCAAACCATGTTGTTTTTTTAAAGTAAGGCTTCGACTATTTGCAAAGTCTTTATCTTTAGGAAGTTATAGTCTAGTGTTGATGACACGTGTAATCTAATTTAAAAAGCCTTCTTTTTCGTTAGTCCGTCGATACGCAATTTATTATTATATTATTTCGAACCCGTATGATAATCACATTTCGACATGTTGAACACAAATTTTTGCGTAAACTCCAATGTTTCACTTATACTAATCAGGTCTCATCATGTTAATCATCTTTTTCCATTAAAGAATAAAATATCACTCAACATCTTTTTTTAGTCTAATTTAACTCATCATGTACCAAGTTACAAGAAAAATATGTCAGTTTGTTTTCTTCTGCACGAACAATATTCACACAATTAGGATTCCCAGTTTCGCAAAATAATTTTCAAATGTGCACATTTGAGAATTTCTGCAGTAGTTAATGATTGATAGATATTTATAGACAAATTCTAGATTTTAAATTAAATATATTACATAAGAAGCGTGGAAACGTTCTCGAAAATATTCGTGATGAAAAAGAGAAATATTTATTCTCCACAAGATTTTCCTCTTCTCGCTATTAAACATAATTTTGATTGATTCAAGTGTCAATCTTTTCTTATGACTTTTAAATACTTTATTAATGAATACCATTGTATCAAATGACTCATGTGTTTCTCTAGGTGTTAAATGATCAAAAATTATATCATTTAGTCGATTTAAAACCAATTCATCATAGACGAAGGCGAGATACAACACAAGAACAATTTATACAACGGCATAAACTAGTAAGTTTGTGATAAGTTCAGAATTATCAACAAAAAAAACTTTGCTCTTGACTGATCTAGGTAAAACAAGCTATTCACCAGGTGGGTTATGAACGAGCAAAACGTGGATATCGTAGTCTTGAAGATTTAAAAAGTACCTATCCAGATTACGAACCACCAACTGATCCATATTTTCAATATCAATGGTATCTGGTATGTGATACAAGGGTTTTTTATTTAGTATCTAAATGATTATTTTTTTAAACTAGAGAAATGAAGGTCAAGCAGGTGGCAAAAAGAGACTGGATTTAAATGTGGAAGAAGCATGGGCAATGGGTTATACAGGAAAAAATGTAACAACCGCAATTATGGATGATGGTGTCGATTATACACATCCAGATTTAATGAATAATTTTGTATGTCTATTTCTAAGTGTCTTAAGAGTAATGAGATAAAATGAAAACCTTCTCTGAATTTAGAATGCTGCTGCTAGTTACGATTTTAGTAGTAATGATCATTATCCTTATCCGCGTTATACAGATGACTGGTTCAATAGGTAAACTACATTGAACGAAACTAAAATGATTACTGTTATATATGTTCAATCTCTCTCTTCTTTAGCCATGGTACAAGATGTGCAGGAGAAATAGCAGCTTCTCGTGATAACAATATTTGTGGTGTGGGCGTTGCGTATGATTCAACCGTAGCTGGTACGAAAATCTTAACTTTATCGGATTACTCCGAGGGACCTTCACCAAGTGTCCACTTCCGATTTCAACGATTTATGCATGGATCGATAGACCGTACTACTGAAGTAGTAGAAAATCTAAAACGGTTGCGGCCCATGGTTCTTCTATCAAAAGTTATCGA